CGTCCCCGCCGCCTCCTGACTCTTATCCGCAGCTGCGGGGTGCTACGGGGTAGGCCCTGGGCTATCACAGCCATCTTGGGCCAAGCGCTGAGCGTCATTCAGCCGCCGAGGATACGCGTCAGAGTGAACGAGGAGGCCAAGGCAAATCTATCAGATTCCATTCTGGCCACTTCAAGAAAGCACGCGTAGAAGCCCCAATGGAACGGGCTTCCCCTGGACATAACGGAACCAGGGATTGGGCGGGGGATGCAATTGAGGATAGCGCCAGCTTCAACCCGAACACCAACCCAAGGAACGCCGTTGGCGGGCGTGTTCTTCAAGGTTTTCGCAGGAACAGGAGAAGCAGTGGAAGCATGATCGTGCACATCGGCAAGAAAATGATTCCGACGGTCGGACCCCGCATGATAATTTTCTCGGTCATTCTGGAAGCAATCCTCATTGTCGTCCCTGTGATTGCGGAAGGTTCTCTTCCTCTTTCCTCTACGCCATTTATCCTTCTCCACTTGTCGTTGACCCTCCTCCCGCCCCCTGCGTTGCTTCCTCCTCGCCATCCTTCCTGCCTTTTCCCTCCCCCGCCGCCACAAACCCCACTCATATTTCAATGGCGCGCGCATCGATTGTCCTTGGCGCCGTCGCCGCCTCGGTGGGCAGGGCGCGTTCTCCGATGGCCAGATCGCGGAGACGGTGGGGCAACTTCGCGGGTCACACCGTTGGGGCAAACCCGCGGGCCGCTGGCGCGCGAGACCAAGCCGTTGGGACGACCCCGCGGCCTTCGAGCGGGGCGCGGGCGCCTTCGGGCGGGAGGCGGCGCGGATCCAAGCTTTGTGGCGAATTGCTCAGATTTCGCAAGGACGCCAGCGGTCCGCGCGCCAGACTCACGCGAGGGCGGCCGCAGGATCAGCATGTTCCGCGCGCACGTGGCGCGGGAGAGCATGACGTAGAGGTGCAGCCACCAGTGTTTGTCCGACATGCCCGTGCGGCCCTCGTCTTCATCCATGGCACATCCTGGCGCAACCCCGAGCGGCGCACGGCGTGCGGCCCCGAGCTTTACCACGTGAGTTCTTGTTCGTTGAGCCTGAACATGAGCAAGTTTTGCGCCCGCGCCTCGGCCTGGCAGTCGTCGTCAATGACTTCGGCCCCCTGTAGCAGCAGGTCGGCGACCTTTTGGTAGAGTGGTGATTCCTTGGAACCGTGCGCCTGCGTCCAGATCCCCCGCGGTACGACGCGGAGGCGAAAGAGCACGATTGGCGAGCTTTTTTCGTGCCGCAGCCGGTATGCGGACCCCAGGGGGAACTCGCCCGAAACGCGATCACCATTCGCTCAGGGACGAGGTTCCCTCCCGAGATTTTTTCCAGATCCGCGTATCAGGATCACAAGAGTGACGACAGTTACAAGGTCTGGATGGATCGCTGCGATTGCAAACATCATCTAGTGGCCGCATAGAGAGAGGTCGAGACTTCCTCGCAAGTCACTCACAGACGAGGCTCCCGCTTGAGACTTCCTCATGATGAATGCGTTTGTGTGGGAGTGCTAATGAGATGGGCAATGGGTGCGTGAGGACGTGTGACGTGGTGATGATGGTGGTGGTGAATGTGTGTAAGGGCGTGCAGTGGTGAGGGTGGTGAGGGCGCAATTTTGAATGATCGATGGTGGTGAATATGAGTGCGATGATGACGATGAGGACGATTGGGATGGTGAGGGGAATGTGATGTTGGTGATGATGACGGTGTTATGATGGTGAGGAGGAGCATAGGAAAGGTATGGGGTGGGGTCAGCGCGAGGTGTCCAGAGAAAACAAAGACCCCATTGAGGATGTGGGGAATAGAAACCACGGAAAGTAGCCAACCATTGTTTTTGACAGTTGGCTCGGCCGTGATAACGAAAAAGGCGACCCCATGCAGGCCGGCGCTGAAAACAGTGGACACTTGCACAAACACAAAGAGTGGTAACATACAACCTACATGATGCGCACAATTCTGATCCATACGAGCCTGGAAATAAATGCCACGGATACATGTCATGACGCAAAGCCCATGTTGTGCAACAGTGGGCATATCGGCATATCCATCGACCGGCAACCCTAATTCCAGTTTGATCCTTCTCGTCTTTTGCACACAAGGAAGTCTCACCGCCAATGTCGGGTTCGGCGCAGTCTGACGATGCGTCAGGCCGTCAAGAAGCGTAGCCGTCACACGCGATTGCCGCCGCAGTCGTTCAAGCGACGCCGTCACATCCAAGTGAGGACGTTTCCTGACGGTGAAACAGTTTGCGGATTCGGACACGTTGTGCGTAGCTGTCCGAATGCTTGAGCAGGACAGCAAATCCATAGATCTTCGAGGGATTGGGGGGGGCCGAGGAATAAAGGGGGCACGGAGTGTCTCGACCCCAAACTCGCCATACAGAAAGCGCCTTTGCTCAGATCAGATCTCGGCATAACCACAAAAAATACAGAAGACATTGGAGAACGGACCGAAAGTACCAGCCGCGCATCGTCTAGAAAAGGGCAAATTGAACAGAGGTAAGGATGTTGCTGGGCCCCCCCTGGCGCCGTTCATCCTGGGATGACGGGTTGCGGACGGCAAATCCAGAATGTTTAGTTTCTTCGAGAAGCTCGAGACGAGGTATCTCAGTCAGTCGACATGGATGAGTTACGGAGCGCCTCAGGACGCTACATCATGGATGCTAAGGTGTTGGTCCACGCGCATGCACAGCTGCACTGTTGATTCGGGATGCATCGGTTGCCTCGCACCGCTCCAACAGCGCGTGCAGCGATCTGGAAAGGGGAATATATCGATCGACTGTTTCGCAAACAGCGCTTGATATCCATGGACTATAGAACGAGGCGCGATATTACCGAGAATGGGTCGACCCCGCCGAGCTCAGCAACAACACCGACTGGACCAGATGATCAAGACAAATAGTTGCGATGTTTAGCACAGCGTTCGAATTCTACTCAGTCCAGTCATGTAGTGAGGGCTACCGCCCAGCTTGAAGCACTGTTGGTGTGGCCTTGCTTTCTATTTGCTTATATATTCCTGCATACATATTTACGTATATGTATATATCGATATATGTATATACGTTGAGATGCATATTCCGCTGGCCCATACAATCCAACAGTGTGTCGCAATAGTTGATGCCGACGGCGGAGGAGAGAGCAATCGGCTGGGAAGCAGGTCCCGCCAAAGCTTTCGGAGGTACGGTCCTACACCAGGTTTGGGGGGGATGGCTCCTGCGCGGGAGGTGTCGCTTGCTCCAGTCAACGAGTGCTGGGAGCTTCGCCAGTACTGTACGCAGGATTTCTCCCATCGCCGCAGTCACCCCCCGCCGCCGTTTGCATCTTCAAGTGCGGTGCGACTGCGTCCGGTGAATGCATGCTGGCGCTCAGTAAAGCGGATTTGGTCGCACTGCGGGCGATCTTCAGATACAAACCAGTATGTCAGTGCACATACTATTTCTGACAAGCGCCGTTTGCATCTTCCCACCTTCAAAACGTCAGAGACCATGGAGCTCCAGTAATTACCAGTAGACCGTCCCAACGATGGCGCAGCCCCGCTCAGGGCTCCCCGTGGGCGTTCAAACAAAAAGACATAGAAAGAGAGAGCGAGAAAGATGTTGACAGCGAATGCTTTGAATTCAGAGAAAGATAGAAATCAAAAAAGTGAGGGGGAGAGAGAGAGAGAGAGAGAGAAAGAGGAAGAACTTCTGATCATGTTGATGTTGATGATGAGCGCCGCAGCTGCGACGACGGTGGCGATGATGATGATGATGATGATGATGATGATGATGATGATGATGGTGATGGTGGTGATGTTGATGTTTATGGTGATGGTGATGTTGATGTTTATGGTGATGGTGATGGTGGTGACCCTAGTGGCGATGATGAGTATGGTGATCGTGGTGATGGTGACGACGATGGTGGTGGTGGTGGTGGCGATCCAGATGGTGACGGTGGTGGGAATGATGATCAGTTGAGGATGATGGTGGCGATGATGATGATGATGATGATGATGATGATGATGATGATGATGGTGATGGTGATGGTGATGGTGATGGATGATGGTGATGATAATGACGGTGATGGTGTTCATGGTGCGGTGATGGTGGTGATAATGGTGATGATAATTGCAGTTTTGATGGTGATGTTGATGGCGGTGATGATAAGGATGGTGATGATGATGATGATGATGATGATGATGATGATGATGATGCAGAGGGGGAGGATGATGATAATGAGGATGATGATGACGATGATGATGATGATGGTGGTGGTTATGATGATGTTGATGATGATGATGATGATGGTGATTGATGATGGTGATGATAATGACGGTGATGGTGTTCATGGTGACGGTGATGGGGGTGATGATGGTGATGATAATAGCGGTTCTGATGGTGATGTTGATGGTGGCGATGATAAGGATGGTGATGATGATGATGCAGAGGGGGAGGAGGAGGATAATGAGGATGATGATGATGACGATGGTGATAATGATGATGATGGTGGTGGTGGTGATGATGATGATGATGTTGATGATGATGATGATGATGATGATGATGATGATGAAGATGATGATGTACCGTACGTCGACGAAATGTTGCACCACTTGTGCCGCGCATTGTCAGCTGTATTGGATTGCTCCTCCCCCCCCCTCCCCCTGATCTTAATATTGGGCACATGGCAAAGGTCCCTTGGCGCTCCCCCAGGGCTCGCGACAGAATGTTGCACCACCGAGCCGTTTCGATGAACCCGGGACCGCAGCCAATGTTAAGATTGGGGGGAGGGGGGGGTGGAAGCAAACATCCATTGCAAAATCGGATTGCTTTCTTGACATCACCAGGTGGTGCAACATTTTGTCGATGTACCGTAGGTGGTGATGGTAATGGCAATGGTTATGATGAAGAATATGTTGATGGTGATGTTGATAGTGATGGATATTACGGAAGTGATGATGGTTGTGATAAGGACTCGCTCCCCGCGCGCCGTTGGCCACGTGCAGGAGTCTCCCGCGGAGATGCCGCGCAGCACGCCTGGAGCGCTCGCAGGCTGGGGGAGGGGCGGGGGGTGCTGCCGGCAAGTTCTCCTCCAAGGCCCTCTCTTTTTACATGGCTTCCCCCTCCCCAGACCTGCGGGCATCGCAGAACGATCACGATGGGCGCTCCGGGCCCCCGACGCGGGTCTCTGGGCCCAGGGGCCCCCAGGGGCCGATCCAGCTCGAGGGGAATGTTGCGGAGAGATGCGGGCGAGGGCTCGCGAGGGTTCTGGTCGTCCCCACGCTTACTTCTCGCATGTTGCAGCGGGCGCGATGGTAGGCCCGGGGGGGGGGGCCACCAGGGCAAAGGCGAGAGGGAGGGGAGCGGAGTGCGAGGGCGAGGGGCAAGGGTCATGGGGATGGCGATGGGGAAGGGGGACAGGGATGGGGGACAGGGGAGGGGAGCGCTGTGTGCAAACTGCCCGAAGCTGTGGACAGGGCAGGTTGAGCCTGCCAGGGCTGCCGCCAATTTGGGGCTGTGCCAGCCTGGCTGGGCGCTGCTGCGTTCAGCTCCGAGTTCGCCCTCTGGGCACGCCGGCGTGCTGCACCCGCGTGCCGGGAGGCCCCGAAGCCTGCAGAGGGGCCTCCAGCAGCTCAGGAAGGAAAAGAAACACAGACACAATGAATCGTCGATTCCCCAGAGCTCGGAGGGCACCAACTATACACCAACACCGATTCTGGCCCAGGATCACCCTGGGCCCAGGATCGGTGTATATGCCTTCTTGCGCAAGGCAGGAGGGCGTATACACCGATCCTGGGCCCAGGGTGATCCTGGTCGGTTGGTGTATAGTTGGTGCCTTCCTAAGAGCGTATGGGAAGATGTGTGGGAATCTTGGTATTTGTGTCTATTCCTTTGTGTGTCCCAGGGCCCCTTCAGCATCTCGGACCCCTTGTGCCTGTCGCGGGGTGCGACCCGGCCATGCTTCCGAGGCAGATCTGCCCGTGGCCGCGAGGGCGCCAGATGAGGCCCCAAGAGCTCCCCGCGCTCAAAACAAGCTCGATCCTTCCTCCTCCTCCTCCTCCTCCTCCTCCTCCTCCTCCTCCTCCTCATCCTCCTCCTCCTCCCTCCTCCTCCTCCTCTCCTCCCTCTGCCTCCTCCTCTCTCCCGCCCTTCCCCTCCTCCCTCCCCTCTTCTCTTCCTCCCTCCCTCCCCCTCACCCCTCCTCCACCCCGCATCCTACCGCAGCGGAGGCCAAGAGTCACGAACCCCCCGCGTGCGTCCCCTCCTCCTGGCTCGCTGTGTGCAAGGGGCTCCAGCAGGACGCGCTCGGGGAAACTGCACTTGTTGGCAGCCTCCTTAGCTGAGTGATCACTCCCGTGAACCAGCTTTCTGGTATGAGCATTCCGGAAGAACCCTGCGCCGGCTGATCAGGGCAGGGGGAGGAGATGGAGGAGGAGGAGGAGGAGGAGGAGGAGGAGATGGAGGAGGAGGAGGAGGAGGAGGAGGAGGAGGAGGAGGATCGTGAATGTCGGTGTTGTTGGGGCAAGGCCCGACTCGCCGGCGCCTGTGCCCTCCGCCCTCCCCCCCTTTCAGACCAGCCGGACCGGGGCTCCCGGGGGAGGGGTTTGGGGAGGGGGGAGGCATCTCACGCGCCGTGACCCCAAGGGGTCGGCGGCCTTCTCGTCGTTCTCCCTCTCCGCCTCCTGTGCCTCCTCTGCTCCTCTTCCATCGAGCCCATGCTCTCATGGCAGCCGCCGGCATCTCCGAATAGCTCTCTTCGAGGCAATGCCCGCTCGCCTTTCGGGAAAGTCTGAATCGAGCGCAGGCGCTCAGACACCCCTCGCCCCTGGAGGGAGGAGGGGGGGAAGGACAGGGAAGAGGAGAAGGAGAGGGGATGGAAGTGATAAAGCTTCCAGTTAGCGCACAGGCAGCCCTCCCAGGCTGTCCTGGCTGGCCTCTTCAGGCCCCCCGAGTACTGCAGAAAGGTCTCAACACCCCAACCCTGTGGCGCTGAGCGCCGCAGAGGTACCGCCAGAGGCGCCGCTGGGGTTTTGAGATCGCCCCAGGCCAGCTGGGACTACCTGTGGGTCTAAGCCTTACCAGATGGAGGGAGGGAGGGAGGATGGACGAGTGAGGAGGGAGGGAGGCAGGGAGGATGGATGGGCCCAGTCATCCTACTTTTCTTTTGTCCGCGGCCAGGGCCCACGGGCCTCTCGACCCCATGGGCCCTCACCATTCCAGTCTGGCTGCTTTGTTTTCGGCACGGCCATCGGGTTCCGACTGCTCCAGTGCTCCCAGGTCCCAGACCTCTGCCACTCCAGCTCCCAGCATTCGCAGAGCATGTTGACTCTTGGGAAGGGGCTCGGGGCGGGAGGGCGGGCGGTGGTATCAGTGATGCGGTTAGGGTTTAATCCAGTCTCCTCCGCCCTTCTCGGAGGTTGCAGCTCCTGGATGGTAGGTCGGCCTTGGTCCATCCGTGATGGATCTCTGGCCCAACGCGGCATACTCTGGCTTAATACTCTGGCTTTTTCTGGCTCGGCCTGGTTCAGTGCGGCGGTGCTCGGGGCTTCACTCAGTCCCATCCGGATTGATAGCTGCGCAGTCGGTCCTGATTGCTCCTCCTCGTGACCACGTGCCACCAGAGACCCTCCAGAAGTGGCCACCCGGTCTCCCGCGGCTGCCGAGGCGCAAGCTTGCTGCGGGTCGGGTGCGAGGCGAGGCCGCCGACCCCGGCGGACATGCTGCAGGGCTTCTGGGTGCAGAACAAGCTGCGGAAGGTGACAGCCCGCCGTCGTCGCCGCCAGCGCCGTCGCAGCCGCCGTCCCTGCCGCCGCCGTCGCCGCTGTCGTGGCGCATCAGAGGAGGAAAAGGCACCGATGCCGCTGCCCTTGCCTCGTGCTCGTCTTTGAGCCTCCTGGGAGGCCTCGTTACCACCTTTGGAGTCGCCATTGAATTCCACTCAGAACGCAACCCTGAAGAGGTCCGCGGAGTAGAGGTGTCGGAACCTTTCCGTTCCCACAGTGCAGGACAAGTTGCGCAAGAGTTCCGCTCGTGAGCCAGGCGCCTGCAGTGTTCTTGACGCTCCGGGTATCCCCACCAGCCCATCCGCCAACGAATACAGTGGGGGCGCTGAAGAAAGAGCCCTTTTCGTTGGGAAGGGCCTCCGTGTTCCTTAATTGTTTCGCGGGCTGCCTCAGGTGTTCCTTAGTTGTTCGATGGGACATCGAAGTTTAACTTCGGGGAAAAAGGGGCCTCGTTCCTTACTTAGGGCTCCTTCGGTCAACGCCCCGACTGTGCGAGGCGAACTGCTTTAGTCAGGAAAGGCTAGGGACGCACGGTGGCACAAGGAGAGACCGAGGGGATGGAGGGCGGAGCGGAAGCTCCCGGGGCCCGACGCGGGACATCCAGATGCCAAGAACTCCGAAGCAGCTCTTCGAACTTCCTCGTCCTCGTCGTCGGCGTCGTCGGAGGAGGAGGAGACCCCAGACAGCGAGCCAGCAGCGCCCACGAAGGGACCCGTGGCGACATTTGGGGGTCCAAGGAGTGCCCAGGCCGCCCCCGCAAAAGGATCCCCGAGGCGCCCAGGAGGCACAGCAAGAGGCGCGAGCCCTCGCAGCAGCGGAGACGAGAGATGGGGTTCAGTCGGGCCGGTCCCTCTGCAGGAGGAGTGCCCAAAAATAGTTCAAAAATGGTATGCGGGCGATGTGTCGGTGATTTGTGGACCATATCTGGGCATTGTTCGATTATTTGTTGTATTTCTCCTCCAAAATCTGCCTGTCGGGGGACATGCCCGACCTCAAGATGGGGGGGGGAGTCTCGCGATCGTGCCCGCGCGAACCTGGTTCGACGGGCCCTCGCGAGCTCCGCCTAAGTGTACCCCCCCTACGATTGGTTCCCCCCTGTTCCTCTTACGAGCCCCCTATCTCTACAGTCAACGCGCCTAGTAAGGACGCGTGCCTTCATCTGGGATGCCCTTGCGTCCTTGCCTCTGTGGCCCGTCCTTTGCCGTTTTCACTGGTCGCCGCCGCCCAAAGAAATCCCAACTTCAGCCTCCAAGGGTCTTGCGTCCTTACCACGCGTCCTTAATATACGTTTTGACTGTAAGACCGTTCAGGCATGCCCAGAGCTGCCATGCCTAAAACTCGGAATGCAGTTCTGCAGCCATACCCCAGACTCCTCGCGTGCGCTTGCGCACGTCTGACGGCTTCATGCGCCCGCCTTGCACTCGCAAACCTCATTTGGCTTCCCAGAGCTTCAAGAGGGAAAAGAAACCAAGCCCTGCTGACTCCCCCCACGTGCATCCACTTCCCTGACTACAGCCCCCTACCGCAGGCATAGCAAATAAGAAGCCGACCTGTCAGCAGGTGCTCCACGGAATATCTCGTCCCCCGATGGCCCCAGGGGCCCAGAGAAGAAGCTCTGGGGCACCACGGGAACCTCAGAGATGCACAGGCTCTTCGAGTTCGAGGTCGGCTGGGGCTCGGTGGCTCCTGAGGTCTGCGATCGCTCCGCTACCCTTTTGGCGGCGAGCCCCTCGGGTGTTCCTCGAGTTCTGGCGCGCGCGGTTCGTCTTGTCGATCAGGGCGCCTGGTCGCAGGCAGGGGCGGAAGGCCTGCCGAGGGCAGAGGCTTCTGCGGATCGCCCGGCGCCCCCAGGACGGACGCGCGCCCAGGCAAGAGGCGCGGGCCTCCGGACCCTCTCTTCGGGGGCCCCCTCACACGGTGTGGCGACCACGCCGCGCGGTGAGTCGGTGGGGCTTCGGGGTCACCACGCGGTTTCGGGGCCCGAGCTGTTCTCCGAGGATGTCTCAAGCGGGTCCCTGAAGCGTGCGGCGACGGACCGAGTGGTGAGATCTCTTGGGGTTCTGGGGTCACCGCGCGGCCTGTTACCGGCCGATTGGGGCCCCCAGCTTTTTCCGGGGGCAGCACTTCAGAGAGGATCCATCTCTTGATCGCCCCAGGGACCGAACACGGCCCCTCGAGGCCGCAATCGAGGCAGAGCGCCCAGGGTGAAACGCAAATCCATCGGACCCTCAACCCCGAAGTTGTGAGTGTTTTTTGCGTCACGTCGACCCCCCAAGGTCTAGACCCCTTCCCCGGGACTGGTGCTTCCTCCTGTGCCGTGTTTTGCCGGTCCTGAGTTCGGGCGAGGACCCCGAGAGGCCAAAATCCTCCCGTCGTGTTTTGTCTGACAATGGGAGAAGGTAGGCAGGTGCCTGGGCATGTCTGGGGGCTTGCTCCGAAGGGCTTAGGCGACCCGTCCTCCTCCTCCTCATCCTCCTCCTCCTCCTCCTCCTCCTCCCTCCTCCTCCTCTCCTCCTCCTCCTCCTCCTCCCCCCTCCTCCTCCTCCTCCTCCTCCTCCCTCCTCCTCCTCCTCCTCCTCCTCCTCCTCCCTCCTCTCCTCCTCCTCCTCCTCCTCCTCCATCTCCTCCTCCTCCCCCTCCTCCTCCTCCTCCCCCTCTCCTCTCCTCCTCCTCCCTCCTCCCTCCCCTCCCCCTCCTCCTCCTCCTCCTCCTCCTCCCTCCTCCTCCTCCTCCTCCTCCTCCTCCTCAGGTCGCCTACGGCCCCGGGGGAAACCGTGCAGGCATGTCAAGTAAGGCGCTCTTGCAACGGCAGGCGGCGCTGTACATCCTGGCGGGGCAGCTCAACGAGGACCGCGTCCGGTCGCTCCGCCGGGGCTTCCGCGCCCTGGACGCAGACGACGACGGCCTCGTCACCGTCGTGGAGCTGAGGGCCGCGCTGGCGCGGGCAGGCACGCCAAGGGGGCGGCGGGTGCCCCGGGGGGGGATGCCGGGGGCAGTCTTCTCCTGCTGCCCCTCCTCTCAGAGGGGGGCGAGCTGAGATAACGGCAGTCGGTAGTTGGCCTTCGGGGGGCACCTTCTCGTCGCCCTGGCCGGGCGCATCTCGTAGAATTGGCGCGCCGGAAGCCTGGGGAGGGTCCGGGGGCCTGTTTTGAGTTGCCTTTGTCTCTCAACTCGCCCTGCTCCGATCCTCCTCCTCCTCCTCCTCCTCCTCCTCCTCCTCCTCCTCCTCCTCCATCTTGATCGTCTTTGGTTGGGAGCCTCTTGCGGCGACGACGACGAGGAGCAGCCTCTCTCTCTCTCTCTCCTACCGCGCGGCGGCCCGCGCCGCTGCGTCCTGTGTACCAGGTCCTGAAGCATAATCCTGGTGAGTCCTCCTCTCACCATACGAATTGGCTCTGCGTGGTGCGCACGCGGCTGGTTTAGTTCTGACGAGCCGCGCGTCCGCTGCGACGTTCTCCCCTCCCTTTCCATGTCCTCGTCCTCTGCATTCTTCTTGGCCGTGCCTCTGGCACCTGGCATTTGGCCTCTGGCATGTGAGCGAGGGGCTGCCTCTCCGGATGTCCTCGAGCCGGAAGTCCTCGAGCCGGGCTCGGTCTCCGCTTCCAGAGCGCTCCGCCAGTGTGCGGCCACTTCGAGCGAGACCCCTGCTGGAGCTCGAGGCCGCCAGCGCCGCGCGTGAGGTGCTCCACGCCCAAGGCGCGGCTCCCTCCACTCGGCGGCGAGAGAGGGGGGGAGCGAGAAGGGGCGGGGCTTCTCAGAAGGCTCGGAAGTCCCCCAGCCTTCAGAGAAGTGTTCCAAGCCTTCCCCGAAGGCTCGGGAAACTTCTCAGAAGGCCCCGGGGCTTCTGAGAAGTCCCGCCGCCTTCTGAGAAGGCCTTCTCCTTCTCATTTTCCCCCCTCGCTCGCCGCCGGTCCATTATCCTTCTCCGCGGCCGCTCTGCCACTTCTTCGGCGATCGGCGTTCGATCTCCGTACCCCCGCTGCTGCCCCCCGCTCATGGGCGCCGAGGGGAGCAGGGCACGGATGAGCGCGCGGCGTCGGGCGCCGGGAATCTATCCATATGGGGCGTTCCGAAAACGGCCGTGCCTTGGATGATAGAAGGAGTTGTCGTCCCTTCCTCGGCGGAAGGTCGGCGGAAGTGAAACGAGGCCGCCTCCGCCGGCGGAAGCAGAAGGTGCGCCTCCAAGAGACGAAGACGTTTCTGGGTTCGGGGTTTCCAGAATCGCCCACATCCCCTGCTCCTCGTGGGGTCGGGGCGCGAGCAGGGGTATGGATGAAAGGCCGCTCTCCTCGTGTTCCGTCGGCGTCCGTGCGGCAGCCGGCTCTGCCGCTGTCCCGGCTGCTGCTCGGCTCGTCGTGTCCCGCCGTCGCTGGTGGCCAAGGGGCCTCGGCTTTCGGCTCTCCCTCCCTTGTCTTGTCTGACTCCTCCTGTCCCCGCCCCCCCAACAGCAAGCAGGCAAGATGCCGAGTACGAAGCGCACGTGAGCATATTCAGCCACTATCGCGTGGAGTCGCAATACTTATACTGCGACCCGCCATGCCGCGGCCGAAGAAGCGGTGTGCTGCTACAGCGCCAGAAGGGCCTCCCCACCCCCTTCGTTGCTCCGCAGGCGTGCCTGTAAACTTCCTGGGGCCACGTTGCTCGTGGGCGCCCTCCCTCTCTCCTCTCTCTTTCTCTCTCCCTCTCTCTCCAGGTGGGAGGGGGGAGGGAGGAGGGATCAGGAAGACAATTATCCGGTTGGGAGAATGAGGATATCCTTACCCGTAAGCGGCCGAAGGTATCGTTCATTGCATCCGGGTGCTGTTGCTCATAACCTTCATCCTCCCACCCTTTTCCTCCCAACGTGATACAATCGGGGCGCTGAAGAAGGATCCCTTCTCGTTGGGGAGGGGCTCGGTGTTTTAAAAGGTTGCCTTGGGTTTTCTCAGGTTTCCCCCCGGACATCGAAGTGTAACTTATGGGAGAAGGGGGCGTCGTTCCTTATTTAGGGTTCCTGGGGTCACCCCCCCCCCTTGACTGCAGTTGTTCTCCTCAAGGGAGGACCCCCCATCCCCCCTCGTCGTCCTCCTCCTCCTCATCCTCCTCCTCCTCCTCCTCCTCTTCCTCCTCCTCCCCCCTCCTCCTCCCCCCCTCCCTCCTCCCACACCCCAGTGTCCGTTTCTTCCGCCTCGCCCTGTAGTGTGGTGCTGGCTGCGTCTTGGGTGGCAAAGAGAGGCCCCTCCTCCTTCTCCCTTATCCCCCCTCCTTTTCTGCCTCCTCGTCGCCCTTCTCCCCCCTCCTCTTTCTCTCCCCCCCTCATTTTCCTCCTTTCTCCCCCGCATCTCCTCCTCCCTCCTCCCCCTCCTCGCTGCCCTCCTCTTCCCCCCCCCCTCCCCTTCCCCCTTTGCAAGGCGTGGAGGTCATACCTCCTGACCTTAGCGGCTTCGGGGCCTACATGGTGGGCATCGACGCGCAAGGCGCTCCGGGAGCCCCAGGGCAGACGGGGGGGGGGGGGCGGGCAGGCGGTGATGGGGGGGGAGGGGCAGAGCCCGAGGTTTCACAGAAAGGCGGCCGGCCAGGGGGCGCCGAAGAGGGCAGACGTTCCAGGCCCCCCCGGGCCGGGTCCGCGCACGGGGGGGGTCGACGGAGGATCGGGCCGCATCGCCGGTGCCTCGGCGATGCGGCGCGGTGTGGAGGATTTCCTCCCTCTTTTGCTGTCGCCGATGCATCGGCGATGCGGCGCGGCCCTCGGATCCCAAGTGCTCGGGCCCAGACGGGGGGGCCTCCAGACGTGCAGTCAGGACGCCGAAGTACAGGCCACTTGGCCGCTTCGGGCACTTGGGCCGCTCCTCGCTCGGACCTCCGACGTTGTGGACGCGGAAGGAGCGCGCGTTTTGAGGAGTTTGGGAACGGGGGGGAGGGTTCGAAGCGCCCCCCTCCCCCCTCTGATTTGCAAGGGGGACGGGGGGGTGTTGAACTGGGTGGGGGGAGGCTCCAGTCTTCCGATCGCAAACATGGATCAAGGGGGCGTGGATTGGCGCCGGGTCCCGTTTCCATGGGGAATCGCGGACTTCCGCCGCCGAACGAGGCGGCAACGGCCGCATACGGGGGAGGCCACCTCCCCCGATCCATGGTTTTAGGCGACCGCGCGCCAAATCCATGGATCGCCAATCCATGTTTGCGCCCCCCCGATCAAGGGGAGGGGGGGGAGGTTCGAGCCAGGGGGGAGGAGGAGGAGGAGGAGGAGGAGGAGGAGGAGGAGGAGGAGAGGAGGAGGAGGAGGAGGAGGGAGGAGGAGGAGGAGGAGGAGGAGGAGGAGGAGGAGGAGGAGGAGGAGAGGAGGAGGAGGAGGAGAGGAGGAGGAGGAGGAGGAGGAGGAGATGGAGGAGGAGGAGGAGGAGGAGGAGAGGAGGAGGAGGAGGAGGAGGAGGAGGAGGAGAGGAGGAGGAGGGAGGAGGAGGAGGAGGGAGGAGGAGGAGGAGGGAGGAGGAGGAGGAGGAGGAGGAGGAGGAGAAGGGGAGGAGGGAGAGGAGGAGGGGGAGGAGGAGGAGGAGGAGGAGGAGGAGGAGAGGAGGAGGACGAGGAGGAGAGCGGAGGAGGAGGAGGAGGAGGAGGAGGAGGAGGGAGGAGGAGGAGGAGGAGGAGGAGGAGGGAGGAGGAGGAGGAGGGAGGAGGAGGAGGAGGAGGAGGAGGAGGGAGGGGGGGGGAGGGGGGGGGAGGTTCGAGCCAGGGGAGGGGCCCTCCCCCCCTGAACAGTGCACGGGGAGGGGCCCCACCGGGGGGGCAGCGGGTGCTCCCTCCCCGGTGGCGGCCGACGACGGCGAGCGCCGACGACGACGACGACGACGACGACGACGACGACGACGACGACGACGACGACGACGACGACGACGACGACGATCGAGTCTCAGTAGGATGCTATCAAGGCTGGCCAAGCCCAAGTGCGATCCCATCAGAGCTGGGTCGAGCCCTAGTTGGGGCCAATGAGAGCTCGATCTGGCCACGGTAGGATTCCATTTCACTTGGATCCAGCCTCAGCAGGACCCAATTCGCGCTGGATCCAGCTATAGTGAGATTCTATGCGAGATGGGTCGAGCCCGATTTGGATGCCATTCAAGTTGGATCCAGCTGTCATATGACTATTAGAAGGGGATCGAGCCTTAGTAGGATCGAGTTAGAACTGGATCCAGCTATGGTAGATTTCTATGTGCGCTGGATCGAGCCCGATTTGGATGCTATTAAAGTTGGATCCAGCTATAGTCGGATTTTTTCAGAGCTTGATCGAGCATTAATGGGATTATATGTTTCACGCTCCACTGATCCCCTCAAGCCCAGTCAAAACCCTGCCTATGAGAGTTGGGGGGGAAAGGAACGAAGAGACACATGTAGTGAAACAGAGCGACTAACCAGTGTGAACAGAGATCTCTGGGAGCAAAGGGGTGGCCTTGGAGGGCCTCTTCGGGCCATCCCTGGGACCCGCGTGGGAGAGAGGGAAGGAGGAGGAGAAGGAAGACGACGACAATGACGACGGGCACGACGACGAACAATAGGAGGAACAAAAACGAAGACGAAGATTGCAAGGAGGGGGCGAGGAGGGAGACGAGGAGGGGGGCAGCAAGCGGAACAGATCGACCAGCCCCCGCGGACGATGGAAAGCCTCAAGGATCAGCTCAGGGAGCTGGCGACGATGCAGCAGCACTCGCTGGCGTCGGCGCTGACTGCCGCAGAGGAAGCCGGCGACGCCGCCCAGGACGCCAGGGTCCAAGTGGCCGCTCGGCCTCTGACGCCGGAATGCGCGCCTCCTGGACGCACCATATACCTGAGCCGCAGCCGCGGGCAGGCCGCGCCAACTCGCGCTGGAGCGGGCGCCATGCGCCACGAGGACGCACGCGCGGCCGCCAACAGCGCCGCGGCGGCGGCGTCTTCCGCCGGCGCCGCCATGGGCAGCGCGGGCCCGCGCGGCGTTTTGGGCCACCGCCACCGCCGGCGGCGGCCAGTGGCAAGCGACAGCCGACGGCGGGCAGCCAGCCTGGGCCGGCTGGAAGAGCGCCCAGACGCAAGGCCAGGGCTGGTTCCAGAAGCTTGCGAGGAGGAGGAGGAGGACGACGAGGAGGAGGAGGAGGAGGAGGAGGAGGAGGAGGACGACGACGACGACGACGACGAGGAGGGCGACGACGAGGACGACGACGACGACGAGGAGGAGGAGGAGGAGGACGACGGCGAGGAGGAGGAGGAGAACGAGGAGGAGGAGGAGGAGGAGGAGGAGGAGGAGGAGGAGAAGAAGGAGGAGAAGGAGGAGGACGGCGAGGAGTAGGAGGAGGGGAACGAGGACGAGGACGAGGTCGAGGAGGCAGACGAGGTCCTCGACGCCGCCTAAGGCCGCCCGCGCTACAGGGCGGGCGACAAGCCGCCGGGCACCGCCCAGTCGATGCCGCCGCCTGAGATGCGCCCGCGCTGCGGCGCGAACCAGCCCGGGCAGCACTGCGTCAACGCGTGTTGCTGCTCGTGCTGCGAGTGGCCCAGGTACGACGTGCGGGGGCCCTGCTGGCAGCACGATAGCTAACTCAACCTATGTAAAGCAGCCGTTTCGGCCGCGAGTTGGAGGGCTGCGCGACGTGCGCGCGCGTCGCCAGCTGCTGCGCAAAAATCATATCCTTACCATTGTCCTCCTCCTTCCTCCTGTGACCCCCCGATGGCGCTTCTTCTTAGGGGCCCTCTCTGAGCCCGCGCGAAACACTGCTACTGACAAACTATTTGACGGTGAGAGTCTAAGAGGGCCGCGCAGCCCACGTGAATTTAAACGGAGAAATGGCGGCGGCCCGTTCAGGGAGGGGCCTCTCCCTGGCCCCCTCATCCTCATCCTCATCCCCGCCCTCTTGACTCCTCCGGAGGGCCGCACGCACTGCCGGCGACAACCCACAGCCATCTCGGGCGCAAGCACTGGCGCGACCACGCCGGATCGAGGCGAGTTGCCTCCCATCCGCCGCCCAGGGCCCCCATGGCTCCCAGCCACCGGGGCCCTGCGACAGGCCCGTCGGCGCGCCGACCGGTTCCGTGAACAGGCTGGCAGAGCTGCTGCGGCAGGAGGCCAACCAGACGGCGCTGCCTCGGCGGGCGCGGCGGCTCTGCTCAGGAGGGAAAGAAACACACAGACACAATTAATCGTCGACTCCCCAGAAAATATGGGAAAATATGGGAAGTGGTGGGGAAGACAAAAACCCAGAAAATATGGGAAAATATGGGGAATCTGTTTATTTGTGTGTGTTTATTTGTGTGTTTGTGGGCCTCTTCAGCTGCGGCGCGGCGGCGCCGCGGCGCCGCGGGCGGCGGCGGCTCCGCTGCGCCGCGGGCGGCGGCGGCCGCCGGCGGGGCCTCACCGCGGGCGGCGCCCGCCGTGGCCGAGGCCGCCAGCAGGGGCGGCGCGGCCGCGGAGGCGCGGGCCGCCTCGAGGTGCGCGGGCCCTGATGGGCGTGTTTTCCACCACCACCACCATAAGTTGGAGTTGGGAAGGAGGAGGAGGAGGACGAGGAGGAGGAGGACGAAGAAGAGGAGGAGGAGGAGGAGGAAGAGGAGGGCACCCTCCCCCTCCAACTTATGGTGGTGGTGGTGGAAAACAGGCCCATCAGGCTTTGCTAGTGGCTCAGAGTTCGGCCACGACGTTCGATGGAGTGGGCCACAGGATGGAAACGATCCGGGTGGTGGTCGAGCTACCACGCCGCAAGGCTCACAACCGAGGATGGGCCCGCGGCGCCGCTCGCTGCGCTGCCTCACGCTCGAGACTCACAGCGCAGACTGATCGAGTCGCTCTGGGCTCGGGAACAGCACATGGCGGTCACGCTGGTCAGGACGGCGCACTTAGTGTCGCTAGCTGAGCTGCCCAGCATTTATTTGCGAGGCCCATGGCAGGGCCCGCTGGCCAGGGCTGCGCCAGCGTCAACCACCAGCTGATAACGATAAAATGGGCCGTATCGGCTGCTTCGGCCTTAGGGTTGAGTCAACAAAAACACCGCCTGCTTCCTCCTTCCTCCTTCCCTCCCCCACTGCGTCCCCCCTGCTGCTCGGGGGCTCTCCACGCGGGTCTCCACGCGGGTCATATAGTCATTCGGGATCTTGACCTAATGGAGGTCTGGCCGAACCAGCCGGTAGGCTGCGGGAGCTTGGCTGCAGCAGCTTACGAACCCCCAGAGCCAACAAACAAAGATTGGTCCGTTATGATGCAGTGAATTCAACCACGCTGCACTACGTGTAGCACGAGAGCACTTGCAGCGCCACTTGCGACTGCAATCACATATCGATTCAATTTCTTATCACGGAGAGTACCCGAGCACCTCAACTAAATCTATTTTGGTGCAAGCTAAATGATAATTTCTACAATGCGCGCACGGCAAAATACAAGCACCGACACGCGCAACCGTACGTTAACAGTGATCTAGGTAACATTGTGCATATTCGCGTTATTGGTATCCCGTGGGCGGTG